GAGAACCCCGAGGCTCTCCGTACGTCGTTCGGCTACCAGCAGGATGTCATCGACCGGGCCAAGACCCTTCTCGCCGATGTCCAGAGCGTCGGTGCCTACAGTCACAGCCAGGGTGCCCCTATCATCCGTGACAGCGTCGCCAAGTTCATCGAGGAGCGTGATGGATTCCCCGCTAAGCCCCAGGACCTGTACCTGACCGGTGGTGCCTCCTCCGGTGTCAGCACCCTTCTGAACGTCATCTGCGATGGCCCCAGTGCTGGTGTCCTTGTGCCCATCCCTCAATACCCTCTCTACACCGCTACATTGTCCCTTCTGAACGCCCAGTGCGTTCCTTACCACTTGGAGGAGCACAGGGCCTGGGGTACCGATGTGAATGCTATTCGTGAGAACCTTGCGCAGGCCAAGGCTGCTGGCACCGATGTGCGTGCCATTGTTGTGATCAATCCCGGCAACCCGACCGGTGCTTCCCTCAGTGCTGAGGACATCAAGGGTGTGCTCGACCTGGCCGCGGAGGAGAAGCTGGTGGTCATTGCGGACGAAGTCTACCAGACTAACGTCTTCACCGGCGAGTTCATCTCCTTCAAGAAGAGACTCCGTCAGCTGCAGCAAGAAGTGCCCGGCAAGTACGACAACGTGGAGCTGGCCTCCCTGCACAGTGTCTCCAAGGGTATGGTTGGTGAGTGTGGTCACCGTGGTGGCTACTTTGAGTTGGTCGGATTCGACCCCGAGGTTGCGGCCCAGGTCTACAAGTACGTCAGCATCATGCTCTGCCCGCCGGTTATCGGACAGTGCCTGGTCGAGCTGATGGTGAACCCTCCCAAGGAGGGTGAGCCCAGCCGCGCTGTGTACGAGAAGGAGTACAATGGCATTCGGGACGGTCTGCGCAAGCGCGCCTTTGCCCTGTACGAAGCCTTCCAGCGCATGGAGGGTGTTGAATGCCAGGAGCCTCAGGTATGTACTTCCAGTGACAGTAAAGCATCCTACGGACGGTTCACTAACTAATGAATTAGGGCGCCATGTACCTCTTCCCCACTATCACCCTTCCTCCCAAGGCCGTTGAGGCCGCCAAGGCCGAGAACCGTGCCGCCGACGAGTTCTACTGCCTCCGTCTCCTTGACGCCACTGGTGTCTGCGTCGTCCCCGGCTCTGGTTTCGGCCAGAAGGAGAACACCCTGCATTTCCGTACTACTTTCTTGGCTCCTGGAACCGACTGGGTTGAGCGGATCGTCAAGTTCCACTCGGAGTTCATGGCCAAGTACAAGTAAGCAGAACTGGTAGATATACCAGCTGCACGTGTTATGAAGATATAGAACTATACCATATTCTCTCTAGAAGACGGACATACCAAATAGAAACCCATTAATATCCGAGAAGCTGCCGCTTTCCTCGGTCGTATATATCACATGCCTTCACAGCTCCATCATTACTAGACAGAGTAACCCAAACGAAGACAGACGACCATAATTTACGTAAATGTGTCTCAGGAACCATCAGAGCCAAAGTTAGTATGTCATAGTATTTGCACAATACAACTAAATAAATAACTCACCTTACTTAACCGCACCCACATTGCATCGACGTTAAGTTTTCCCCACGGGTCCATCCCCAAACATCGATCAATTGCCGTCCAAGTGGAGACCACCCACCACACAATTAATGACCCAGATTTTCTGGGGTGGAACCGATGGATGAGTGATTGAAATGATTCTGGGGCCGAGGGTAGCCGATCCACTCTATCTTTTTTCTATCCTACTATTTCTTTTTTGGGTTGGGAGTGTGCGGGTTTGTGGGGGTTAAAGTAGGGTTTTCCGTATAGGTTGGTTTGGTGGTGGAAATAGCGACTTGGGAGGTTTTTCCTATTTGGTGTCAGGGTACTTTGGGAAATTAAGACAGTTCTTTGGGTTTCGGTATCGATTATCACTGATTTTTATTCTAGACTAGCTGTCCTGGCTTGGTAGGTAGAGCGAGTTCTTGAATTTATGTGTAGAGTACTACTTGTCAACTGGCGGGTGGTGAAGTTCTAAGATCGAGATATTGCACAGCAGATAGAGAAATGGGAATAATCTTGGTGATTGGATTTGATTTTCTTTCTTCTTTTCCAATGCGATGTTTAGTTGTTAGAACTAATCGTGAACGGAAAGACTTGAGCTCGCAACTTTCGAGATAAATATTAACACTGTGTTACTCAACGTCCTAAAGTCTTGACGCGCTTGGTATGAGGGATGGTAGGGTACAAAGGTCTAATAGTTTTAGGGCAGTACTTGGAGTATTGTCTGACACGTGGACTTACGCCAATGAGATTTCAATACTTCGGTCAGTATTGTGCAGTCGTTTAGTCAAAAATGAGAATGTTCATGTTATATTCATACTCATTAGCAGATAGAGACACTGATCTCATGGTACAAATAGCTAGCTTGATGGAAGGATGATCATTTGATGTCTGATGTGAGTATTGTGAGTCAGAAGTTGCAAAACTACTTGTATTTAGTTACGGCATGTGAGTCCCCATATCAAACCAGTTATTGTAATATGCAAAGATATCAAACATAATAAACACGTCGAGATACTAGATATTTTCTACATCTCGATTTCGTGATTCTCATAGTTTCATCCGTGCAATCGATCACAAGTCATTGGAAATGATTATGTCATCCACCCCCGCCTTCAGGCGCAAGTTATCGCGAATTCCTCCCCAACAAAGTGCGCCAGGGAGCAGCAGTCTTGTGTCGCAAACAAGCACCAGCCAATCTAAACCTGCGTTAAATAAGGCATGCTCAAAAGACTCAACACCGAATACTTGTGGCACATCATTGATTTCGAACATGGGTGACAAGGATGACGGTCCGCTCCAGGTTAGTCTGCCTAAAATTGTGCGCGCCTTGCACCAATACAAACCGCAAGTGCACAAACGGGGTGTAAACAGCTGATGCTGAGAACGAATCGCGTCGTAGGATCTGGAAAAGACGTACTGCCCTCCTCTGGACCCAGCCTTGCTCACAGCCATCGCGTTCGACTATGACCTGACGGACTCTGCCCAACTTGACCAACTTCGCGAGACTCTGGATGCGCTTCGGCTGTCTGCTTGGGAACAGGAGGACCTGCCCTTCGACCCTTCCGGCACATCCGGTTTAGGTGCAGGACATGGTCCAGAAGCAGATGGGTCGTCAGAGCTTAGTGAGTCCCAGGGAGACCGGTCGCGGGAGACGGATATCACTAGCCTCACGTCGGGGTTCTCTTCGGTCGGTATCAGGGACCATTTCTCGTATACTATTGGACCGGATGGGTCTCTCCATCTGTCTGGAGCGAATGAAGATGATAAGATTGGCTATTTGACTGAGATGTTCCCGTCAGTTGACCGGTTTACTATCCAGCATACGTTGAAGAAGTCTAATGGAAGCATTGATCGCTCGATGGACGTCCTACTCAACCTATCGTTCTTCGATGAGCAAGTACCTGACGAGGATGGGGTGGTCACTGTTCCTAAGGGCGTGGACGGCTTTGATGACCCCGAAGCAGGCAAGAAACAAGCTCGCAAGCGCAAACCCAAGAATAAGAATGGCCGGAGACAGGATGTCTTATCGTCTGCGAGCTCCGAGGCTAGCTTCGAGAATACAACGAACAAGTGGGATGCTGCTGGAAAGGACGTTGAGTTCATTCATGCGCGAACCTCGGCGATCTTGAAGAAGGAGACCGTCCGCTCAACTTATCATGCCAATGGAGCTTCACTTCCTGCTACAATCAGGGCTCTTGCCGATACACACGCTCCGAAAAAGCAGATCGATGAGGATCCAGTCACGGTTACGCAAGTGGCTGAGCTTACGCAAGAATTTCCTTCAGTGCCGCCGCTCACATTTGCCGGCTTGCTCAAGATCACGAGGAGTTCTACATCGGCCGCCAGTGAGCTCGCGGCGGCTATGCTGACAAGCCCGGTGGCTCCGTCCTTGACTGAGATAATCAAAATTACCACAGCACCCCCGCCGGTAGACGTTGACGAGGAGACCCCGAAACGAGGCGCTGCACCGGTGACCCGGGACCTCAACCGAGCGAGAAGTGCAGCAGGCGTGCACTTTGCAGCTGGTGCTGAAGCATTGTCGAAGGCATCGGTCGCATACCGGCGCGGTAAATCAGATCGGTTGATGGGAGGTGCGGCTGCCTACTATTCCGCTGTAGGACGAGATCATTTGGAACGCGCCAAACGCAATGCCGCTGCTGCCGCCGATGCTCTGGTCGACTCACAGTCTACATGGAACTCGCTCGATCTGCATGGTGTATCTGTGCAGGATGCGGTGCGGATCTCTAGCGAGCGGGTATCCGAGTGGTGGGACTCTCTGGGCGATGCAAAATACATGCGTGGCAGTGGAGCCAGCGATCCTGTTCAGGGTGGCTACCGCATTGTCACTGGACTTGGACGGCATAGTCATGATGGCACTTCACGTCTGGGCCCGGCTGTTGCGAAGATGCTGGCCCGAGAAGGCTGGAGAGTTGAGATTGGCGCCGGAGTTTTGACCGTCGTTGGAGTTGTCCGACCTCGCTGATGCATGGCATGATGGATTTTGTTTACCCTTTTATGTCCCCAATTAGCGGCTGATGCATACGAGATACCCGGAGGCGTTCATGTAGACAGCGGATCTGGAAGGCGCGCTTTTGCTAGTTTTGCTAGACATTTGTTGTACTTAACATCTGTTGTACATACATGCATACAGAGCTTGGAGACAGGCCTTTTCATGATGACATGATGAAGACTGAATAAGCTCTTGAAGTTCTTTAATTCGTAGGCAATGTTGATATGGGGAAAATAGTAAGATAAGAGGGAAGTTTTGGTGTTTCCGTCCGGATGACGTAAAAAGCCCAAGCAAATCGGAGCTTCAGCGGCGACCATCAATAAAAGCGATTAACTGACCAATCTTCACTTTTCTTCCTTGAGACCTTCTTCTCGTCAGTGACTAACTGTCATACCTACCTCCTATTTCATCGAATCATACTATTTGAATCACACCCCGATGCGCTTCCAGGGCCTGATTCCCGCCCTCCGCATCTTCGCACTACCCCTCCGATCGCACTCCGTCCGAGCCCTCCAGCGACCTCCTCTCCCCATCCCCAGCGCAACTGTCCTCAAAGCCGGTCCTACGATCCCCTTTCTCGGCGCATTATTCGGCTCTAGCGCGAAAACCGACTCCCAGTCCAACAACATGTCCTATCCCGACCAGCGCAGTGACGATGCTTGGCAAGCTGTGCTAAGTCCTGGTATGTATAGCTTTACCCTCATTCTCTACCTATCTACCTCTCATCTGTTCCCACGGTGCTAGCTCTATCCTGGTATGAAGGAAACTAATGCAAGTCAACCAAAGAGCAATTCAAAATCCTCCGCCAAAAGGGCACGGAACGACCCTTCACGGGCGAATACGATGCTCACTACCCTTCTCAGGGAGTGTATAACTGCGCGGGATGCGACGCGCCGTTGTACAAGGCAACACACAAGTTCAAGTCGGGATGCGGGTGGCCTGCGTACTTTGACTCCATCCCTGGAGCTGTTACAAGACATACGGATCGGTCATTTGGAATGGAGCGCACGGAGATTGTGTGTAGCAACTGTGGGGGACATTTGGGACATGTGTTCAAGGGAGAGGGATATCCGACTCCGACTGATGAGAGACATTGTGTGAATAGTGTTAGTTTGCGGTTTAAGGAGGATGAAGGTCAGGGGAAGTAAAAAGGGGTATGGGTGGAAGGTAAATAGGGAGTTTTCGGTGTAGAGTACTGTAGTTGTACGATGAAGAGATGAAGAGATGAGACGCAGATGAATATGAATATGACGATCGTCGCTGTTTGTGTGCGACGCTGGTAACTCTCATACAATAAATCAAAGGCAATCAATCTATATCAAACTGCATCGCTGGCACGTGCCGCTGGCCGGTCGGAGGTCAACCCACCGCCTACCCAAGTGTAATGCCTGAGGCCAACAAGACACCGCAACCCGCCACTTGGTGGCCCTTGACGTCTCTCTCCCCGTTTCAACTCCCCTTTATTATTGTCTCTCCTTTCTCTCCTCTCCGGCTGCATTCCCTGGTAGTTCGACCCGGACTGCGTCCCTAGCTGTGATGTCTCGACGTGCTACGCCGTCCCAGGCTGCTCAGAACCAGCAGATCATCAAGAGTCTGCTGAAACTCGAACAAAACAAGATATGTGCCGATTGCAAGCGCAATAAGCGTTAGTGACCCCCCGCGGATAACGCCCAACTTACGCCTGTTGTGTTTTGCCGTCACATATATCATTCAATGCGAATGTCCGGTGCATAATGCGATCGCATGCTAATATTGTTTCATTTAGATCCTCGGTGGGCATCATGGAACCTGGGAATCTTCATCTGTATCCGTTGCTCGGGCATTCATCGCGGCATGGGCACCCATATCAGTCGGGTGAAGTCGGTCGACCTTGACTCATGGACGGACGAACAACTTCAGAGTGTTGTGAGATGGGGAAATGCTAGGGCCAACAAGTTAGTGTCTTCCATTACACATTCGGTGTTTTGGGACTTTTAAGCTCATTGTCTATGGCAGATATTGGGAAGCGAAATTGGCACCCGGCCACGTCCCCTCGGAAGCGTAAGTGGATATCTCCCCCGCATACTGGTCAACTTGATGGCATCGTGGCTAAGTGGATGGCGTGGACAGGAAAATTGAGAATTTCATCCGGACAAAGTACGAGTCTAAGCGATGGGTCATGGACGGCCCAATGCCCGATCCCAAGACCCTGGATATTGGCGATGACGATGTGGTAAGTTGTCCGACGTTGTGTAACCTTATACGATGAGACTAACACATGTCATCAAAGCCTCTCGCAGTGGTCCAGGAAAAAGCGAAGATTGAACGCTCCGCTTCTCAGCGTGTGGCTGCGTCCAGTCAACCCGCAGTCCATCGCCAGCAACAGTCCATCGATCTATTCGCCGACGACCCTATCGCCCCTCCGGCGCGTCCGAGCACGACAGAGCCCACCCCCAGGGCTCCCCCTAAGCAACCACAGTCTGCTCCTGCTCCTAAGCCAGCGGCTCGTCCCGGGGACTCGCTACTTGGTTTGGACTTCTTCGGAAGCGCTCAGCCCGCCCCTACCAGCCGCCCAGCTAGTACGGCATCGACCCCTACCGGCTCGACCGGAATGTCTAGGCCCGACTTGAAGCAGTCGATTCTCTCGCTATACTCGAAGCCTCCGCCTGCTACGACGCAGCACGAGCGTACATCTTCATTTGGCGATCTGGCATCACCCGCCCCCGGTTCATCGGCCTCCAACATGGGTGGTCTGACGGATGCTTTCAGCGGACTGAGCATTCCCTCGTCCACTTCCCCTCCGGCTCCTAAACCAGCTGAGAAACCCTCGCCTTTCGCCAATTTGACGAACTTTGCCAGCATGAAGTCTACTCCAGCAGCTCCCAAGGTGTCTTCGCCCACTGCCTCAGTTGGTAGTGCGGGTGGTAGTCTCTTTGATAGCCTCACGTCTCCCACTGTCCCCCCGCCAAAGCCGCAGTCCCGGACCGCATCAATCTCGTCGAACGGTTTTGACGCAGGATTTACCAGCTTTGCGTCTCCTCCGCCGCCGAAGCCTAACCCCCCTAAGTCGCCTCTGTCTGACGACTTGTTCGGGCTTTCTTCGCCGGCCCCGGCCGCCCCGGCTGCTGTGTCGCCTCCGGCGTTTACATCTACCTCTCCGCAGCAGGATTTGAAGTCTGCTTTCAACCTTACCCCAGCTCCCGCTCCGGCCCCGGCTCCTAGGCCATCAGTGGCTAGCACCGCGTCCGTCGCTAGCGTTCTTCCTCCAACTACCATTGATCCTTGGGGAGGTAACGCTTGGAGCACTCCAGACCCTGCGCCCGCAGCACCTGCAGCACCTGCCGCATCGGCTTCGATGATGAAGGTGCCGGATACCCTGACTGCCAATGACATTGGTGCGGGTTGGGGCGCTCCGGCTTTGTCGGCTAGTTCCAAGCCGGCCCCAACCGTCGCTGCCGATGAGGACTTTGGCGGATGGACCAGCGCGGCACCCATCTCGTCAACCACCACTACGACTACTACCACGAATGCTCCTTCCAAGCCGGCGGGCGGGTTTGGCGGAGCGGACGATCTATTTTCTAATGTTTGGGAGTAAAGGCTGTGCGCCATCTCGCTTTTGCCTTTTTGCACATATTTGGTGTTTATTGTCTATCTCTTAGACTTGAGCGGCAGGTTTCCAATGTCATTTCATTTCTATTCCGATCTCATTCGTTGTAACCGCTTCCTTCTTGCTTGTTTCTCCCTCTCTGCTTTGATGCCGTGCTTCTCTTCTGCTTTCCTTTCTCACGCATGCCTAGGGATGGACATTGGGTTCGGATTGTAAAATGGGTGGGGTTATGGGTCCATAGCTTAATGTAGTCATGCCATACGTGTCATGTATTCCCAATGCATCCTTGCATATTGACGACAGGGGTTTAGACTTGGGGTTGGATGGCTGTAGTTGAGTTGACAAGCTGTAGATGTGCGGGCGCTCAGTCGATGCTGGCACCGGTAGCGCTTGAGTTACTCTGTCGGTATCGAAGTGCTCAATCCTTACTTACTTTCAGTATCACGTTTATTCTACTACCATCTTTGCCGTATTAAATGTCCCAGGGACAAGAACAAGTGTGTTGTAGATGTTAGGGAAGCGCAGGGCAGAAAGTGTGGGTCCTGAGGCCGCCACGGGCGATCCATCCATGGATTGGGTCCAATAATAATCATCCATCCTACCTTCTTCCTTTTGCTCTCCGGCTTATCTCGTGTCACTCCGTAATGTCTACTTCCTCCATTGATCAGTCTCTTCATCCAAGCTGGCCGATATGAGCCATGTTCAGCCCTTGTAAATCTCAACTAGCAGTCTATGATTTCCCATTTGGCCGGCCACTAGCACAAGATTGGCCCTTATAATAATGAATCATCCCGAGCAGACAGCAGATGAAGCAGCCAACGTTCCGTCCGCACAATCCACCAACAAGCCCAAAGTGCGTCTGAGCTGTGAGACTTGTCGGCAGCGCAAAGTCAAATGCGACAAGCTGAACCCATGCACGAACTGTCAGCGTCTCGGAACGAGATGCGTCCCCGTTGAACGGGCACGTCTTCCGCGCGGCAGATCCGGCAGACCAGCAACGGAGCGACCAGGTGACCAGGATGCGAACCTGAAGGACCGTGTGGCGAAGCTGGAAACCATCATCCGTGAACTGGCTCGCGGGGGCAATCAGGCCTCCGCTCGCGCTATTCTAGCTGCTGCCGTCGATGAAGGCTCACAGGCTGGGTCGTCGGATGGGGAGCATGGCGATGACGATGACTCGCAGCCTGGTAGTGTTCGGACTCCGGATACGTACTTGGGGTCTTCGTTTTGGGCCAGTCTCTTGAATGAGGTGAGTCAATTACTAGAAACTCTTACACATATCCAATGATCTGGTTACTGAGTTAACTCCTGGACAGGTGCCGGATGTACATTCCAGTGAGCAGAGTGGTTCCAAGGAAGATCACCGTAATGCTGAGAACAGCAACCTAATCAACTACCGCCGACTTTTCTCCATGGCAAGCGGCAGTGACTCCACAAAAAGCAATTCTCCAGCCCCCTCACCTGCCCATCAGCAGCTATGCTGTATATTCATGCAGAGGGTGGACCTGCTCTGTAAGATTCTCCACAGGCCCTCGGTGAAGGAGTTCCTCGTGGATGGAAAGCCCTATTTGGACTACGAGCCAGGGCATCTGGCCCCAACTGCCCTCGCCTACTCTGTATACTTCGCCGCCTCATGTAGTCTTCACGACGAAGAGAGCATGCGCTGCTTCGGCATCCCCAAGTCATCCATGGTAGCGAAGTACCAAAAAGAAGCCGAAGCAGCCCTCGCCCGCGCTGACTTTATCACCACCAACGACCTCACCGTCCTACAAGCCTACGTCCTCTTCCTCGTACGTCCTCCAATCCTAACACTCCACACTGACTAACCATTCCATTTTAGCTCGCCCTCCGCTCCCAAGACCAAAGCCGCCGCATGTGGACTATGCTCAGCATGGCCTTGCGTATCGCGCAAGCTCTTTCCCTCCACATCCCCGAGCCCCCATTTCACGTAACCCCCTTCGAGCGAGAACTCCGGCGCCGCGTCTGGCTCGCCATTGGCTTTCTGGACATCCAAGCATCCATGGACCGCGCTTCCGAACCGATGATGCAAGCCGCCTGGCTGGAATCTCACCCGCCAGCAAACGTGAACGATATCGACATAAGCCCAACCATGACCTCAAATCCCCCCGACTCCCCAGGCTTTACAGATATGACCTTCACAATGATTACCCGCAAAGCACAATATGTAACCCGATCCCTCAACTTCTCCGACTTCATGGAACCCTCCATCAATACGCTCGCTATCCGCCAACAACTCGTCCTCGAATTCCAACAATCCGTCTCGAAACTCCTCGCTCACGCCTCCCCTGCAACCAACCCCCTCCATTGGCTCACAGCAGCCGTAGCAGAATGCACCCACGCCTCTATGCAACTCATCACCCTACGGCCCCTCCAACGCGCTCCAAACTTCACCCCGCCCCTCGTCCGTGGTGACCGTCTTCTCGAATTCGCAGTCAACGTGCTCACCGCCGCGTATCGTCTCCGCTCTGACCCCCGCTTCGCCACCTACAAATGGATCGAATTTGCCTTCCCGCCCTGGCATAGTCTCGCCGTTGCTTTGGC